GGAGATAACTTATATGCAGTAACTGCAGAAAAAGCGAACTCTTACTTTTTTTTTTTATATATAACATTTGTATTTTGGGGTCTATTTGTCAGGGTGAATGAATGAATTTTTAGTGTTCTTAGGACAATACTGCTTTAAATGACAATTACATTTCCCTTTTATATTTGAGGTTTCAAATTATTAGAAATCGGTTCAAGTGGCTAGATGGTTATTTTAGAAAAGTTTATATTGTTTCTCACTTCAATTATGGATGAAAAGCCAAGACTTTTTTAGTTTATTTATAAAGTTGTTATATTGGACTACAAAAAATTGAAACTTCAGTGTTCTTCGAGTTTGTCATTCCAAATAAATAAATATATCAAATTATATTTGAAAAATAAATATTGAGATAAGTATAAAGTTTTAATTTATTAGCTTAAGAGATATATTTAATGTTTAAATTCTTATATATATATATATATATATATATATATATATATATATATATATATATATATATATATATATATATATTTGATGACGTTTTGCTAACAACAGTGAATATTGCATTAATTATTTTACATAATTCTTAAAAAAGTAATATATTATTTTTTTATTTATTATTTAAGGATGGTTCACCAACTGCCGGTATTTAACGAATTTATTTTTCCAAAAAATATTTTCGCATTTATTTGATGACGATTAAAGAACCAACGTTATTTCCGAATTCAACGATGCTTTTCGAAATTTTTATCTAGTTTTTCCAAGGATGTGCTAAGGCAATGACCACCACCACAGTAATCGTTGCAGATTGTATATTGGGGATTATTCCCGTGGTTTGTTCAAATCGTCGTTGAATGACCTCTCGATGGTAGTAACTACTATGATTAATGAACCGCCAAAAGTATTGTTTTGCGGGGATTACTAAAAAACCACCTCCTTTTACCTCTTTTATTGTGGTGATTCAAATATGATGAAGTCTCATATTAATTAGTAACATGATATGTGAGAGAATACATGAACTCAATTCCTTATAATAACTTAATTGTTAGTGATAGCATGAGAGACCTAGGATCTACAAATTACTTATGTAATGGAACGGAATTTTTTTTGACTTAAAGCAAGTGTTATATATCACCATAAGCTAAATAGTTAATACATGAACTCATTAGGATTGGTCAAGTGACGAAGGGTATGAGTAATTTGCATGAAGTTATATGTTAGAACCTCAGTGTCACCATAGTATAAAAAATAAATAAATAATTAATGCATGATCAAATATTTCGAAACTGTTATATATTTATAAAAAAAGAAAAAGAAAAGAAGGGAATGCTTGGGACACTGCACGATTCAGTAGGTTAATTGATCCAATGATTTCTGACATTATAATTGAATGTGTGAATCTACTGTTCATAGTTTTAGTGGCGTCTTATATAAGAAACTATATTGTATTTCATTCAGATAAATATAACAATATCTTATTTTATGAACATGAGGAAAATGAAAATGAACATTTGGCGGTCACGTGACTACAGCAGTTTTTGCATGCGATAATTTTTTTTTTTTATCTTTAATTAAATTTTATTAGCTAGTTGGATAGATGGACAACCCACTACTGCACGAACACTGTTGGTTTGAAAACAAAAATGTGGAAATGGCTTGTATTTATTATTCAAATGGAACCGAAAAAGCTAGTTTAAGATATGGTACTAATTGGTAGTTTGTTGAGAGCTAACTATTACAGCTAAGAATCGTCATTAATCATATATATATTTATATTCCTGTCTGGAACAACTCTAACCATCCTTGTCCCCTTTTGTGCATATCCTTGTGTCCTGACTTCAGTATTCATAGATTCAATCTGTCCGTTGCTTTAAAATTTCGTTTGCTATCTTATTAAGGTCCTTTCCTTGTTGATGGCCATACGTACATTAATCCCTTTAAAATAAAGTCCACAACATCCAGCCACACTAAGCATTTTGGAATTTTCCCACCCTGAACTGGTATATTGAATAATAATAATCAGAGTAAATATCTTTTTTGGTCCTCAGCAAATTTCACGATACCCGCTTTAGTTCCTAACAAATAAAAAGGCTATTCGTGGTCTCTAAGAAATTCAAAATGGACTCATTTAGATTAAATCGTGGTCCCTAGCAAATTTAAAAAAGACTCATATTAGTTCCCTCGAACAGACTAAAATGGATCTATTTTGAATTTTTTAGGACCACGAATAGCCTTTTTATATGTTAGGGACTAAAGCGGGCATCGTAAAATTCGCTGAGAACCAAAAAAGATATTTACTCATTTTTAAATTTGTTCATCGTGTTTTACTACTAGTTTCGGAGCGAGTTTCGGGATTAAGCCTTTAATTTCAAAATAATAGGAATGATTAAATACACACTTCCGTCCACACCTGTTTAATTCTTTGACACCAATCATTTGGTTATCTTATTATTCCTCTATCAACATAATGTTCTAGCCGCCTGTATATAGGCCTCGAAGAGAAAAGTGCTTTTTAAAAAAAAAAAAAAAATAACCGTAGCCAACAATATACGAACATTCTATTTGGGCTTTCAAACATTTCTAAGATTAAGCTCAAATTATAGTTCCGAACCTCACTCCAGGTCCATTTCTTGACTTGGGCTCATATGAATGGTTAAGGACATAAAGTTGTCAATTCTTTCTAGCTGCCAATTGTAAAATGTTAAGATTTAAGAAATTGCTTTTGGGCCAGCTTCGGTACTATATTATTGATTCACGTGACTCTATCTTCACGGATTAAAAGCAGAGGGAAAAGATTCACTTACAATTTTTTTTTATAAATTACACTAAGTATGACTGTATGATCGATCATACATTCTTTATTGAAATATGACTTGTATTGGATTGAGATTTCAAAGAATTTTAATTGATTATTTTTGGACAAAAAATTCATTAGTATTCAATTAAGATTTTAAATGATTGAAAAATGTCGTGTACTATTCGATTAGGATTTTAAAAGATTATTTTAGAGTCCCTCCAAATCCGTTGGTATTCAATCAGGATTTTAAACAAAGGAAAAAAAAATCTCGTGGTATTAAAAAATATGACGATTTTAATGAATTTTTTATTAGAGTGGTTTTCGTGAGACTTTTTAGTGAGAAATATAAATATGATGTCTCTCTCACAATCTCACGCTAACCCCTAGGATTTCTCGAGATTTCTCTATTGCAGTGTATTCTTCTTCCTTTGGCTGGTCAACATGCTCGAAAGCAGGTCCCGCCATGACAGTTTCGTCAAAGCTTAAAAATAGCAGATTTTTGAGCGATTTTCATCACAAAACAACCCAAAAACAACAATTCAACAAGATTTTAATCTAATCCAGCTCAAAAATAGCATATTTTTGAGCAAAATTTAAGAGTTTTTGGAAGTTTAAAAAACAATTTTTCAAACTATTTGTCGCGATTTTTCTTGGCACAAAAATATGTGATTTTTGTATTAAAAATAACATAAAACAGTGGGAAAAAATAGGGGAACAAAAACCCTCAAACCAATTTTCATTTCACATCAATAAAACAAGATCGATTTATAAAAATATTGAAACTTTTGTAATATGAACCCTATGTTTAATAACTACATTTAAAATGAAATTTCTCTACTATAGGAAATAATTTCAAATAATTTTTGAGTCAATAGATCACTAAAAACTTATTTTTCAAAAGACCCAAAACAATTTAAGGTTTCAATGTATTGATTGAAAATAATTTGAACATTTTTCTAAACTTTCATATAATAAATTCCAAAATATTATAAATCCATATTGTCCTTTCAAATCTTATAAATTCTATTAAAATACTTTAAAGTCAAATCTTACGAAATCGTGATTGTAAAAAAAGTCTTTTAAAAAAGTCTTTAAAGTCCCTTCAATTCTAAATAGTTTTTTAAAATCTATAAGATTTTTTATCTTAAAATAATCTTTTAAAATCATAATTCAATACACACCCTTATTGTAGTTTGTAAACAAAATATTTATAAATATAACTTTCCTTTTAAAAGTAAACGTATTTATATACCAAAAAAAAAAAGTAAACATATTTAGAGATATGTAGTACGTACCTAAACAAATATAAATAAATAAAATTGAATATAGTTCACCAAAAAAAAAAATTTGAATATAATTCATGTTTTTTTTCCTCACTTTATTATGACATTATAAACTCCACACACTTTTATTTATACCTAGTAAATAATTTTATCTACTCTAATATCAGAAAAACTAATCCCTTTATTTTGGGAGTAGATCCTATCATGTGTTAATTAACATGACCATCATGTGGGGACAATCATAACCATACATGGGTGAGTTAATGAAATAAATCTTTGGTACTACCACTGTACCAAAGATTCAGTACATCTTTCTTCCTTGTTTGTCCAAAAAAAAAAGATTCAGTATATCCCACCAATAAAAAATATTACATGTTAGCTGAAATTCTTTTTTTTTTCTGTCAGATTTTTTCTCTCTCCTATGATGTGCAATGCTCACAATTGATGAGATGCACTGAATCTAGGTACAGTAGTAGTACCAAAGATTTATTCGAGTTAATGGTGATAAGGGAGGTGAGAAAAAAAAATAAGGATAAGAAGTTACACAATTGTCATCGTTGATTTAATTATTAATGATTAAGATCCTTCCATGATTATGTTAAGTTAAATTACACATGAGAGGATCTATTTTCTTTTATTTTTATGATATGAATATCTCAGATAAGAAAATAAAAGTCAAAGCTCGTGTAAGAGAAGACCAACACTAGGTAAAGCTCTTTGTATTGTCTGCTCCCTAATATAGCAACCAAACTGTCTTAACAAATTCCCTACTCCTCCTCTTTTGGATCGTTGATACTTTCCAACTTCCAACTTAGAACATTTCCTTCTCTCCCTCTCCGTCTTCCTCCACAAACCTCTCTCTCTTTCTCTCTCTCTCTCTCTCTCTATACCAATTTCACTCTCATCTTCTTCTTCATCAACAAATTGAACCCATATCTATGGCACTGCAAACCAAGTCACGGAACAACAGGAGGTCTTCTTCATCTACGTCTTACGCATCAACCTTGACAACATTAGTCTTTGTCGCACTATGTGTTTTGGGTATATGGATGCTAACCTCCAACTCTGTTGTCTCACCCAAAACACGTGCAGCCATTGATAACTCTGAAACCATCAATGACTTATCTTCCACTGAAGACCCAGTTGATACCACAACAACAACAACAACAAGAAGCAATTCAGATGATTCAACTGAAACCACCACCACCGCTACCACAACAAGTAACTCAGATGATTCACTTGAAACCACCACCACCACCATTTCAGAGGAGCCACCTGAAACCACCACCACCACCAAAAGCCAAGACCAAAAGGACACTACCGTTTATGGAGACAACCCTGGTAATCTCCCTGATGATGCTATCAAGAGTGGTGATGTAAACACCATTACTAATACCAACAATGACCCACAAAAACAAGAGGCTACCTCTCAGATATCAGAGGAAAGCTCATTAACTCAAAAACAAGAAGCTTCCATAACAAACGAAGCAGGTTCAGATAATGATCAGAAAATGGCAGAGCCTGAGAAAGATGAAACTCAAGTATCTGAAGGAAACCAAAAGGATGAAAACACAGAATCTCAGAATGCAAACGCAGGAGAAAATCAAGAACAAAACACGGGTGGTCAAGATGTTCAAAGTTTTGACACTCAAGGATTATCTAAAAACAATGAAGATGAAGCGAATGAACAACAACTAAGAGAAGACAAAGGTGAGATCACAGAAAAGAAAAAGCCCAATGAGGAACAAAAGGAAAACCACAACTTACAAGATGAGAGTCAAGAAAGACATAAGCCAAAACCAGAGAAGAATAGAAGGAAATCGAGCAAGAAGGAGTCAAAGAAATCGTGGTCAACACAAGCAGATGAGTCTCAGGGTGAAAAGGAGAGACAGAAAGATGAAACAGAATCAAGTGGTGCTGAGGAAACGCAAGATTTGAAGTGGAACCTTTGCAATGTCACTGCTGGTGCTGATTTTATCCCATGTTTGGACAATGAAAAATATTTAAAGCATTCACCAAGAAAACACTACGAACACAGGGAGAGGCATTGCCCTGAGGATGCACCTACTTGCTTGGTGGCACTTCCCAATGGTTACAAAACACGCGTCCAATGGCCTAACAGCAGAGACAAGGTAACGTGCTTGAAAGGAACAAACATTGGTTCCACCATTTATTACAGTTAATGATAAATGTGCAGTGTGATATTGGTATATATGATGATGAGTTTCTCAAAATTAAAACTCTACTATTTGTGTTTCAACAGATATGGTACCACAATGTACCACACACGAAGCTAGCAGAGGTTAAGGGACACCAGAACTGGGTAAAGATGACGGGTGAGTTCTTGACATTTCCTGGAGGTGGGACCCAGTTCATTCACGGTGCTCTCCACTACATTGATTTTCTTCAACAGGTAATGACAAGTTTTCTCAACTAGCCCATTATTCATGCAAATAGTAGAGTATGAGTTCAAATCTAGTAAACCCTCTCTTTTCAAATATACAAAGCATAAGGCTGGTACTAGTACTGCCCTTGTCTCTATTCTCGTTAGTTGGGATATAAGGGGGAATGAATTTTTTAATCATAATTTCTTGCTAATAAAAAAAGGGGCCAATCGGAGTAATGATAAAGTTGTTCTTTCATAATTGAAAGGTCATGGATTCGAATCCAAGAAATAGAAAATAACTTTTTTGTAATTATGCAAGAGTAAGACTGCATACAAGAATTACCTCCACCCCACACTCGCTAATAGGATTTAACAGGGAGTAGTTTAATTTCTTGCTAATAAGTACTCAATTTCACTCGTGATTGTTGAAAAGAATGATTGATAATTGTTCAGGCTGAAGCTGGCATTGCATGGGGGAAGCACACTAGGGTGATTTTGGACGTTGGGTGTGGGGTGGGTAGTTTTGGAGGTTACCTGTTTGAAAGAGATGTTATTGCTGTGTCTTTTGCACCCAAAGATGAGCATGAAGCACAAGTGCAGTTTGCTCTTGAGAGAGGGATACCAGCCATATCTGCTGTCATGGGCACTCAAAGGCTGCAATTCCCAGGCCGAGTCTTTGATCTTGTTCATTGTGCACGCTGTCGAGTACCTTGGCATGAAGAAGGTTGATCTCACTAAACAACACTTTTCCTTTGTTTAAATTTGTTGATTTCTTATTAATGTTTTGAGTTTTGCATTGATCATGATGGTTACTGAGAAATGTGTAAATCTATTAGGTGGCAAGTTGCTTTTGGAATTGAATCGTGTTCTTAGACCAGGGGGTTATTTTGTCTGGTCTGCTACTCCTGTTTACCAGACGCTGGAAGAAGATGTTGCGATATGGAAGCGTAGGATAACATAACAAAACTTATCTTTGTTATTCAGAAAGGAATGACTTAGCATTTTTATTTTTATTTTTATTTTTTATAAGCGCTGATCACATTTAGTTATTTTCTTCTAGAAATGAGCTCATTAACCAAGGCAATGTGTTGGGATCTCGTGACCATAAAAAAGGATGCACTGAATCAAGTTGGTGCTGCCTTCTACCGCAAACCAACTTCAAACGAATGCTACGAGCAAAGGGAGCAAAACCAACCTCCAATATGCAAAGATGATGATGATCCAAATGCTGCCTGGTAAATCTCTAGGTGCATGGATAGAAGTGGCAGTATGCTATGTTTTACATGTATGAGAAGTAAAGTATATAATAACAATTATTGTAATTGTGATTGACCAAATATATTGCATTTACAGGTATATACCTCTACAGGCGTGCATGCACAGGTTGCCTGTTGACAAGACTGTGAGAGGAACCAAATGGCCTGAAGCTTGGCCTAGTAGACTGCAGAAAGCCCCTTATTGGTTAAACAACTCTCAAGATTTTGCAGCAGACAATGAACATTGGAAAAACGTTGTAGATGAGTTGAGCAACATTGGTGTCACTTGGTCTAACGTAAGAAATATCATGGACATGCGAGCTGTCTATGGAGGGTAGGTATATATTGATTCAACTTGGACTATAACTATTACATGTTTTTATTTGTATGCCATACTTTGTCTTAATTATGCATCTACCACGTCTTAGTGATACTATTGGATCATTGATCATGAGGGGTTAGACATCAAAGTTACACCATGTATGTGCAGATTTGCAGCAGCTCTGAAGGATCTTCCTGTTTGGGTATTCAATGTGGTGAACGTAGATTCAGCGGACACACTTCCAATCATTTATGAACGGGGTCTTATTGGAATATACCATGATTGGTGTGAATCCTTCAGCACCTATCCACGAACTTATGATCTACTGCATGCTGATAATCTTTTCTCAAATCTAAAGAATAGGTAGTGATTTTTTTCCCATCTTTTTTCACCCAGGGTTGAGAAATTGCACCTTATTGATCTGGTTCTATTGTTTTGGCTTCTCAGGTGCAAACTTGTTCCTGTTATAGCAGAGGTTGATAGAATACTCCGACCAGAAGGTATGTTGATTGTCCGAGATGAACCCAGTGCCATTGGCGAAGTGGAGAATTTGTTGAAATCCATGCATTGGGAAATAACCTCCAAAAACCAAGAGGGGTTGCTTTGCGCCAAGAAAGCAACCTGGCGACCCGATTCTTATGTAACTTTGTACTGATCATGGAGACAACGTTGGTGGTTCAATTTAAGATTTGTTTTCAGACAAGCTGTGCACTGGTTCAACATGGGGTTTGGTCTTTCATTCGACCTCCTATGGCACAACAGTTTTCCGCAAAATCACACCATTTTAACCTATGTACATCATTCACGCACTACCACAAAAAAGGAGATGCTGTAAGACACCGACCATATAAAATGTCATTGTCTAGTTATTCTCTTCGATGCTTGCATTCAGAGCTAGCGATTTGTTACATCAATAGATTATTTAACAGAACAATACTCTGGCAAATAATAGTATATAGTCATGTACCTGAAAGCAATCTCAGTGCAATAGAAGTGGTTCTATTGTGCGACAATGCTCAATTTGACATGGTAGAGACTTGTTTAATATCATCATGCGAGGTAAGAGATGGATGCTACAAAACAATAATGAGAGAGAAATATTTGCTACTTAACATACTGTGGATGTTAGGCCTCCGAATAGAACTTGGCATGCTTCATGCCTTCATTTCTTATATATTGCAAGGTCACGTTTAGGGTCCCCTGCCCCTGCACTAAGAGAGTGTCTGGCAATCCCTCGAAACCAAGATATCTAGATACGATAAACCTGATTTTAAAATATAAAGTGCTTGGTTATTACCCAATTTTTGATTTAAAAAAAAAAAAAAAAAAAATTTATCCCTTAAAATTCGTTTCCTCTAATTTCAACCTCTTCAACTTAAAACAACTTCCATTTCAGTTTTTCAAATAGAATAATCAAACACCCCATGATGAAAAGAACAAAAATAGAATGCAAAATATCATGGTTAAATTGCTCTTGTTAAAATGAATGAAAGAGAAATAAAAAATATTACAAGAAACTTGTTAGTCGTCAACTGTTGGAGAAAGAATGGGAAATATGAGAAAATAATTCGAAGATTTGGGCTTGGGATCCTGTTTGTAAAGCTTATTATATTATATTCAAAAAGCTCTTCACAGAAGACATCCTTGAATTTCATAGATTTGGCACGCGGAGTGCTGGACTTACCATCAACAAATAAACAAGGAGCTATTGAAAAAAATATGATGTAATTCAAAAAATAAATTGCATCTTAACATGCTCGAGAGGTAAAATGATTTAGAGCAACTAATTCAAAAATAAAAAAAAAATAAAATAAAAAAATAAAGCGTCAGATGAAAAGATGGCGGTGTAATAACAAGACAGTTGCGGGCTCAAACTTATGTAATAACAATAAACTAATTCCTAAACACAATGGTCTAAATTGAATGCAATTTTGGTATCATCTCATAAAATAATCTTGTAAGAGAATTGTAGGAGTTCCCGAACCCCAAGAACTATACGAGTTCTCAAGGACTAACAAAACTCCGAATCATCTATATAAGCATTGACAGGGGATCCACTTAACCCATAAATATTGAGCAAGGGAATTAAGCAATGCTAAAATAATATTCATGAGTAATGTTTCTAATACTTTTTTTCTTTTTAATTTTAAAAAGCCGTATATACTTATGATTCTATCAATTATTAGATAAAGGGGTTACATTAAACAAAGTCATGAAAAAAGAGAGAGGTGTTATTACAACAAACCTTTGAATTAATTGTGAATTGTTGAAGAAAAAAATGAGAAAAGAATGATACTACTAAGGTTTGGGGTTAGGACCGTCCTGTTTGTAGAGGTTATTATATTGTTCAAGCTCCTCATAGTACACATCCCAAACGCATCGGACGCATCCGCTGCCGCAGCAATCGCCGGGATCCGGCTTCTCCGGCGGCGGCGGCGGAGGAATCTCTTTCGTCAGATCCTCCTTTTTGTCGGTGTGCGCGTCCAGTTTGGGCTGGATCTGGTGTGGCGCGGGTATATTTGTTCTCCCTGCGCCCTCCGCCATGCGAAATGGTAGGAGAAAAAAAGGTGCGGTGCGTTGAAGGCGATTCTTGGTGGCGATAATATTCGAAGGGACGAGTCTTTGGGTCAAATCGGATGCTCCTGCTCTCATGGTCAACACCACCACCTCATTTTCTATCTCTTTTATGTTTCTCTCTCTTTCTCTCTCTATCTCTTGGATATTATGTAAGAAAAACCACAATGACTATGTCTATAGGTTCCGGTTCAATGGATCAATTGAAGTCCACGATAGTCAGCTGTCGTTTTATGCAAGCCTGGCGCGTTTTATAATATCCTCGTCATGTGCAAGGTAGTCAAAATCAGAATTTTATCTAAAATCAAAAAAAGAATAAAAAATCGTAAATCGTAATAAAAATTGTAGATTTTACCTGCACTCTAAAATTGAATTTTTATATACATATGTTTATGTATAAAAAAAAAATAAGAAAAATAGACTACCTGCCACTATCCTTATACATTTGTATACAATTGTCACACTCTAAGGGTCTAAGCTAATAAATCATTTAAGTTATTATCATCGAAGACATTCTGTTCCACGTGATCTTCAACTACATCATACCAAATTGTCTTCATCGAAACTTTCATCATGAGGTAAAGTTTCTTCATTTTTCACAATCCATTCATCTTCGGATGAAACATCACAAATGTTATATTCAACAATTTTTCTAACTTGCTTAACATCATTCCAATAGTTAAAATAGGGATTTAAATCTTAAAATCAGACTTAGTAAATGTCTAAATCGAAATTTTATATTGGAAAGGATTTTAAGTAAAATCTAAATCGTTTTAGCAAAAATAAATCGTTAAAATCGGGATTTTAATATTTAAATCCTGATTTTTTTTTTTTTGATAACATAAATCCTGATTTTAACTACCATGGTCCTGTGTCACTGGATATCGTTTTTATTTTCTTTTTATTTCTGTTTTATGCTATAGCTGAAAATTAATAAAAACTAACTTGGTGGCCACGCGGTTATCTTATACCGAATATGAGACATGACACGATATATTACATTAATATGTTAATTTTAAAAAATATTATATTTTGATATATTAAGACACATTTTGATATTAAATAATATTTTTAACATATAAATAATTTGTATTTAATATATATAATAGTTCGTATTCAAATTTCATAATATAAATATCAACAAAAATAATTTTTCATACATTATTAATTTCTCTTGTCAAATTCCATAATAGAAAAAAGTTGATTTATGAATTATTTTTTTATGTTCAGTTAATAAAATAAAATTTAGACCTATAAAAAGATGTGTGGGATGCATGTCGGAACAATGATCGTATGTCAAAAAAAATTAATTGTGTGTCGGAACGTATCGGAGCATTGATTGCGTGTCCTAAAATAAAAGAAAAATAATACACACTCAATCTTTAATTATAAATTATTTCAGTACTAACATTTCTTGTGCATCTATATATATATATATAGAGAAAAAAAGTATTTCTTCAGTCACTTGAGATAAAATTATCTCCAGTTAGGAGTGTAAATGGGCTAGGCCGGCCTACAGGGGCCTACGGCCTAGCCTATATTAGGTCAGGTTTGACCTATTATAAGTAGTAAAATAGAATAGGCCTATGCTTTTAAAAAATCCATTTAGAAAACAGACAATAAGTTTTTTTTGTACATGTCTGGCCTATAAGCCTACAGGCTGGCCTATATCATATTATTTATTTAAAATATAATAAATAAAATTATTATTTAATAATTTTGAATAATAAAATAATATTATTTTGGTTATTCTTTTAATTGTTGAATGTTTAATAGGCTTAAACAGGCTAAGAGGCCTAGGCCAAGGCTTTTATTTTCTAAATATAGGTTATGCCAATAATTTGGAGTCTACACAAGCTAAAGGTTACGCCATACCCAATGTTTTTTACATAGACTTGGCCTATTTAAGTCAAAGCCTAGTCTAGCCTAGCTTATTTACACCCCTATTGTTGAGATATTCAAGTGTGATGAGTCTCACATTGGTTGGTAATGAGCTAAGTGAAGAGTATATAAGTGAAAGGACCCATGAACCCAATGCCTTAAGGTTTTGGGTTGAGACATGGTGTCGGATCCACTTGCTACGGTTGGTGTAGCCTTAGCTCATTGGTGGTGGTTCCCCGCCACAGGCTTCCCCTCGACCCGCTTGACATTGGGGTTTGAGGGAACGAATTTCCCAACAGTGGTATCAAAGCCGGATTGGGCTCGAGCTAGCCTAGTGATTGGCTAGGAGGCGGGTCGAGTACTTTGTGCTTCTGGTACTCGGTTGAGGGGGAGCATACCAATGGTGGGTTTCACACTTGAGGGGGAGATTGTTGAGATATTCAAGTGTGATGAGTGCCACATTGGTTGGTAATGAGCTAAGTGAAGAGTATATAAGTGAAAGGACCCATGAACTCAATGCCTTAAGGTTTTGGGTTGAGACATGTGTCGGATCCACTTGCTACGGTTGGTGTAGCCTTAGTTCATTGGTGGTGGTTCCCCGCCACGGGCTTCCCCTGGACCCGCTTGACATTGGAGTTTGAGAGAACGAATTTCCCAACACCTATCTCCAGTGGGCTCAAAACGACATTGTTGTGGTGTTATAAAGATACAAAATTATAATGATAAAGACTAAAATAACCCTGCAATATATTATAATTACAAAAATACCTTGATTTTTGCTTCAAAACGATGTCGTTTTGGACGCACTGGAGATAACTTATCTCCATTGACTAGAGAAATCCTTTACCCATATATATATATATATATATATATATATATATATATGGGCTTATCATTTCTCAAGCTGCTTGAGATAATCTATCTCTAGCTATTAAATCATAATCGTACAAAGATGAATCAATGGTGATAAAAGAAGAGAGAGAAAAAGGAAATCATAACCAATCAAAGGTGAATCAATTAATATAAGGAAATAAATAAATTAAACGACGTAGTTTTAAGATAGCCGGAGATAAATTTATCTCAAGCTGCTTGAGAAATATTTTTCCCTATATATATATATATATATATATATATATATATATATATATATATATATATATATATATATATATATGTATAGGCTTTAATGTTTCTAAAGTGAATGTAGATAAGTTATCTACGTTCACTCCCAAAACGACGTCGTTTTGAGTTAAAAAGTTATAATGAAAAAGACTATTATAATCCTGAAATAAATTATAATTACAAAAATACCTTGATTTTCGCCTCAAAACGACGTCATTTTGAGCTCAATGTAGATAAGCTATCTGCATTCACTTTAGAAAAAGCGAACTCATATATATATATATATATATATATATATGGGAAATAGATGTATCATGTTGTAGGAAATTGGTTGTGTCATGTGATAGACACAACCAATGTGGACCTCATTTTTATTATATATATATATATATATATATATATATATATATATATATATATATAGAGGCAGGATCCTTTGACACCGGTGTCAAAAAAAAAGTTTGACACCTCATCTGAGAGCCGTTAGATTAAAAAAAATCAATGGTGTCACATGCTTACAAATCAGAATCGTTGATTTTTTTTAATCTAACGGCTCTCAGATGAGGGGTCAAACTTTTTTTTTGACACCGGTGTCAAAGGATCCTGCATATATATATATATATATATATATATATATATATATATATATATATATATATATATAATTTTGTATAACATTGTCCTTCGTATTTCAAAGTTCAGAAGGAAGTATACTATGTCTGTCAATTACTCTAATTTTCTCTTTATTCTCCCAAATTTTTGCCGTTGTGCCAATATTCGAACGATTCTGTCCTGTTCTCTAGACGAGGCAGTGATAAAACTGAGCTTATGAAAAATTCTAAAAGTGTTTTTTTTTTTTTATTATTATTAAGGGCAATGTTTTTCTCATGTTACATGAGATAGTATTATCTCATGTAAAAACATAATTAAGTGAGTCCCGCAGCTAAAAAAAATGCTAGCTCGAATTTTAATAAATGTGTAACCTAGAGAAAAATATTTCCCTATTATTAAAGTAGGTAAAACTTCTAGTTTTATATTATTTATAAATTTAATATTTCTATTTTTACTATAGATAATATTTATCTCTCAGACTCTTATAAAAATAATTGATACTCATTATTTTTTTTTCTCTTTTTTTTTTAGAAAAATGTTTGTCATTTTAAATAACATAACACTCTGTCCTTTTAAGAAAGAGACAGACACAGAAAAAAATTATTTAAATTTTAAATTAAAAAAAATCACACATTTTCTCTCTCCCATTATTTCTATTTCTATGTGTCTGTCTCTCTCCTAAAATGACATAACTTATATTATTTAAAATGACAAACACTAAACTTTTTTTTTTTATAATGAAATCATTTACTTTTATATCAGAGTAACAGAGTAATAGAAAAATATTTTCTGCAACAAAAATAAAAATATTTTTTCCATTATTTATTACATATCGCGCTGCGTGTAGCATTAAAATTTCTCTTGAAAGTATCATAGCAGGTCTTTTATGTTTTGGGCATATCTAGTATGCACGCTACATGAAAGCTGAGAACATTCTTTTAATTATTAATTTACTTTTTTAATAAATTGCTGAATTTCATATTGTAGGTTTAGTCTTTATCAGAAGATGAACATGAGATTTTATTAAAAAATGAAAAGTACATTAAACCCATGTAACAAGATACAATGTTTCGGGTAAGCAAGTCAAAGTTGTGCTTTGACCACATAGAAAACATTTCCTTAAGTTATCTTCTATGCCTTTCATCTTAAAGAGCATATGCTGCTGCTACAAGCAACCAACTTTTGTTTGACCCTTAAAATTTGGAGCAATTAGGCACCATGAGTGAAGTGAATCACCTGAGAATCAAAACCAACGGGATATGGATGCACGTAGCAGAACAAGGGACAGGACCACTAGTTCTACTCCTTCATGGGTTCCCAGAAATATGGTATGCTTGGCGCCGCCAGCTCAACTACTTGGCCAAACATGGTTATCATGCGGTTGCACCTGATCTTAGAGGATATGGTGATTCTGATTCTCCTATCAACCCCAATTCCTACACTCATCACCACCTCGTAGGTGACCTTATTGGTCTGCTTGATCATTTTGGTGAACAAAAGGTATGACTAGAAAAAAATTTGTGCCTGCAGGATTCTAGTTCCTTTTGTGTTGATAGCTTTTCCTTCTTTCTTTTTTGTTGTTGATATTTTTGTTGTTTCTTTTCTTTTCCAACAAAACGAATGAAGGCATTTGTAGTTGGATCTGATTGGGGTGCAAACATTGGATGGCATTTTTGTCTCTTTAGACCTGACAAAGTCAAGGGATTTGTGGCTCTAGGTGTTCCTTACTTCCCAAGGTCCCCAACTGCTAAAACGGTTGAAACTATTAGGAAAATACATGGAGATGATAGTCATGTCTCCCAGTTTCAGGTACCCTTTAACTTCTTGTTTAGATGTGTTTGTGAGATAAAGAATTTTAACAGTTTTTTAACTTCTTCCATGGTTTTTAACTGTTTTATATTATATTTACAACCCCACCACATTAAATGATTTTTAACACAACATCTTAATCTGAGACTAAATCCACTTCCTGTTAAACTGACTAGAGAGCGTGGAGTGAAGGTAATCTTTATATGCAGCTTTATCCTTGCATGATTGCAAAGAAGCTATTTCATGTATTCGAGCCCATGACCTTTCAGTCATGCAAGAACATTTTTATTACTGTTCCGGTTCGCCCATTTATTTTTATTTTTTATCTCTTTGTACCTTTTATTTGGATTCATCTACCACTGACCCCAATTAATTTGAGATAAAATTATTGTTGACGTTGATGTTGTTGATCTTAACTTGGTACTAAAGTATTAGATTTTCGAATTCTTTCACTTATATCATTATTAATTAGCACATTTCTAATCAACATGAGACTTTATTACTAATTTCCAATAGAACATGTAGGACATTGACTTGAATTTACCAAAGTGGTGTGGTTGGCTTTACAGGAACCTGGTCGAGCAGAGAGAGCTTTTGCTAGATATGATTGTTTGACAGTGATGAAGAAGTTTATGCTAATAACAAGGACAGATTTTCTAGCAGCTCCTCCAGGCATGGAGATAGTTGATTTCTTACCAACGCCTTCCATTTTGCCATCATGGATAACTGAGGAGGAACTCATGGTCTTTGCTGACAAATTCCAAGAGTCTGGTTTCACTGGTCCACTCAATTACTACCGTGCAATGGATCTGTGAGTATTTTCACTACTTTCTTTGTTTTTCTCTTTAATTTTATAAAACAATCCATCTTTTCTACTATAGTCAAACTTACAAAACCAATACCTTTTTTTTTTAGTGACAGATAACATGCTTTTACATTCTAAGGTTAAGGGTATAATGCAATGCAACATAATTAGGAATTCAACTTAAGCCTTGCTAACGAATTGTTTTCATCCTTTTACCATGTCCAATTGGCAAACACATGTATCTTTAATATAATTAAGGTGATCCATTTTAAAGATTTTGCTGTTATAAATTAAAAGTACAACCCTTGTCTAATCCTTGTTCCACTCTAATTACCTGTTTTTCTCTGTTTCTATTCATGTCCATGAACTTTGTAATGTTTAGAGTTTAGTTGAACCTTTGGAGTCTTGTTAAGGTTTATTTGACATGTTTTAGTATTTAAGATCATGAAATCCTAAATTTAAGGCTAATAGTAATAATTGATTGCAATAACTAAAAAGTGAATAAAAATGTTAATATTTATATGAAAGAACTTTTTGTACTCACTCATGAGAGAGAGGTCAGTTTAACTTGACTAAAACAATTAATTTGCATTGGATTAACTTATGACCTAAACATCAAAATTTACTTCCATACCAATTACCACACTTTTATGACTCTTCTCACAAACTTGACAATAACAAAACAATCTGACATTTTGTGGCTTAATTACATACATGCTCAATGGTTTACAGAAACTGGGAGCTACTTGCACCATGGCAAGGATCAAAGATAATAGTTCCAACGAAATTCATTGCTGGAGACAAAGACGTTGGCTTTAAAAGTGGGGGTGCAAAGGATTTTGTGGAAAGTGATATTTTCAAGAGCCTTGTTCCCAATGTTGAAATGGTTATACTTGAGGGCCACCATTTTCTACATCAAGAAAAAGCCCAACAAGTTTCAGATGAAATTCTTTCCTTCATCCGTAAATTATCTCTGGATTAGGGAGTCTTCAACAGTTTCAGTTTTGGGATTTTCCGCCCGAACATTTAGTACCGTCATCACACTGGTAGTGGGTATTACTCTCATTAAAAATAAAATTATAGACCATGTATTCCCGCAAATATATTGGCATAATATTAAAAAAAAAAAATTATATATTTTTATTGGTAGGATATATAGATACTATCATACTACAGGAGCACATTAAATATTTTCGCTCGAATGGTCTCATATTAGCAATTTAAAAAGTGCTGTCATGTGCTTTCTATATAAGATACTGATTATTGTGATCTTCACAAAATTTATTAGATACTGATTGACATTAGCTTTAGGGAAATATCAAATATTACTCTTATGATATGCATGTATTCACAACTTAGATAAAAGAGCAGAGGAAAAAAAATGTAGAATGAGTTTCATCTTTTTTTTTTTTTTTTTTGGTACATAAAGTTTCATCTTTAATTTATAAGAGCATGAGAAATTTTTTTTCATATAACATGAAAATAATATTTTCCTGAGTTTTATTATCTACATTTCCTTAATTTCGGCAACATTACTGACAAATGTCACATGAGGTCGGCAGCCAAATTCGAAATTTTAGCTTTTCCCTGATACTAAACGAACAATACGAAGAGAAATGTGTTGGCTTTCGAACCTTATTTAATTTTGATAATAACGAAAGAGTGGTTGCCAAATTTTTTAATTTTTAAAAGTTTGTTATAGAATTTGATATGTAATAAATTGTCAAAAATTGAGTTTAACAAGATTGTTTTGAAATTCTGAAGATAGAAGATTCAAGATAAAATCTTAGATTTTATGTAATAAATAAAGGGTTTGTTTTTTCTAAAGTTACTTTAGATAACTTTATCTAATGTTCATCGAAACGACGTCGTTTTGGGCGGAAATCATGATATTTTTGTAATTTTAATTTATTTCAGGGTTATAATAGTCTTTATTATTCTAATTTTTTAATTTTTCAATCACAAAATGACGTCGCATTAGACAAAGTTGTCTAAAGTAACATTAAATATTTTTTTCCCCATAAATAAATGAGATGAATCATGATTTTACCTTGAGTAACATTATTTTGAAATTCTAAAAACTAGGGAAGGAAAATAAAAATAAATTTCTTCTGAATTTAAACATAGTAAATCTGAATAGATTTTTTAAGATACGTTTTTTAATTTAAAAAAGAATAATTTGATAAAGCCTCACAAAATCCTTAATTTTTTTTTGAAAGGTTTTAATTCTGGTTAATTTGAAAAGTTTGTCTCTTTTTGAAATATTTAATTCTATTTCATAAATTTTTGAAACGAAATTTTCAAAAGTTTTTCAAATCATAATAACCTTGAAATAATAATTTACTGCAGAAATTTAGAAATTTTCATAATAATTGGTTTTAAAAAAAGTCCATTTAAAACCGCATTTTGAGTCTTTATTGCTAAAGACACATTTAAGACAATTTGAAAACCAAGGATTGAATAGATTCATTAAGTCCTCATCCTAGGTTTGATTTATATATGTGTTTATTGATTAGAAATGTGTAATGTATTAACTATTGTGAGTCTCAAATTCCTCTCATGTGTTTTCTATTTTGGTATTAACTATTGTTAGAATGGACAATAAGGGAGCAATAACATTACTTTCAATAGATTCATACAAGACTTCAAAAAATAAAAAATCCTCCATCAGCTTCCAAATCAACTAATTAGATTTATTAAGTTTAAAAATGATAGTCAAGCTGCCTCCCATTTCAATTACATAAATGAACAATTACACAACTACGTACAAAGGTCTTGATAACACTTTGTTGAAGGCCAAGTATCAGTTCTTTTAGTGAAAATTGAAATAAATAATAAATTAAGAAAAACATCAACCACATTGAGACACACAATTTTAACGTGGAAATTCATAAGATTAATAACCATGACCTTATGGGAGTTCACTCAAATATTCCGGTATCACTAATCAATAAGAATTAGTGCACAGTGCACAAAGAAATTTAAAAACATAATTAAGTTGAAGGATTCGAGCATGATTACAAAAGAATTGAGAAGTTTACCTGGTTCATGTTTTTAGAGAAGGAAATAGTTGTGCAGATTGACTTTTTAAATATCCTTTAGACTATCCTGTTGAGAATAATTTTTGTGTTTTTTCAAACTCTTCCCCTGGTATTTGACTTTTGTATTGGGCTGATTTATCTTTGTCTTGTAATTTCATAACGATTTTATTGAATTGATCTCTTTGGGATATTGTTGTTAACCCCCTGGCCCTTAGATTACCAAAAAAAGAAGTTGAAGGAAATCGAGGGAAAGACGAGAGGGAAGTCACCCAAAAACTACAAAGATAAGTCATGGATCTATGATATATCCTTAGTTTTGATACTACTCCTAGCAACCACATTTTATTTTTTACTCTACAACTAGTAAGATTCCCATGTAAGAAAGTCCAGCAACCAAATAATTCCTCTTTTATTCCAAGTGGAGCCTGTCCAGTGTGGATCCATTAAGACCTCTTTACTTGTTTGACCAACTTTTTTTAAACAACCAACCTCTACAAGGTGAGCTCTTTAAACACCTTAGGATCTTGTACACTGCATTTGCCTCCCGATATTCCTCATACGGTGACTGCATACACAGACCCACAAAACTTACGGCAAATGAGTTTCCCTACAAGGTGTTGATATTTATCTTTATCAATTGGAACTCCATTGAACACATCTCCCAACATGGCGTTGATTAGGATCCATGGGCACATACTTGATTATATCCTTGTTAGGAATTGACCTAACAAGAGAAGAACAGAGAAAACAAGAGAAAGAAAAATAACCGATTGTATATTATGAGTAGTAATTTCAATGCTACAATGTGTTTCTTATATGAATCCATCTGTACTTATCCTATAACCACGTATTACGGTTAACATAGCCAATACAGAAAGTGTTATTACTAAAGGCATATGTGTGCCACACACACAATACATCATCTATTTCTATGACACGTTTCACATGCACCCACTCAAGCTAAGCCACGTAATCTTTCAATCTCACCGAAGGCTGCTTTTCTCTCCTAGAGCTTCTTCTTGTAACATTCCCTTCCTCTTCAAATATGGCCTTGTCCTCAAGGTTCAGGGAGGGATAACAATGCTGCAAAAACTCCTCTACTTCCCAAGAAGCGTCTTCAGGCACATAATTGGTCCATTGAATCAAATATTGACGTTGTGGACTTCCTCTGACATGAACAATGCGCCTGGCCAACACTGCCAATGGAACTTGCAGTGGTCTGTTCTCCTCTGCCATGGAAGGAAGGGGTACAGGCTGCTTGTCAAAATTTCCACGGAATGGCTTGAGTAAAGATACATGGAAGGTAGGGTGAATCTGACAATCAGGAGGTAATTGCAAACGATAAGCCACATTTCCTATCTTCTTCTCAACTGGATAAGGTCCAAAATAGCTTTTGGCAATTTTATGACTAGCACGCCTTTCAACAGAAACCTGTCTATAAGGTTGCAATTTCACCCAAACTAATTCCCCTGCTTCAAACGAACGATCCTTCTTGTGTTTATCACTCTGCATTTTCATACGGTTTCTAGCTTGCAGTAGCTGAGATTTTAGCCGTGAGAGGATTTCATCTCTTTGCACCACCAAGGCCTCAATTGCCTCCACCTTTATTAATCCTCTAGGACAAGGAGGAATATGCATAGGTTGTTTACCAAAGACAGCAGTGTATGGAGCCATACCAATGCTTGAATGCACACTTGAATTGTAATGGAATTGTGCCCATCCTAGAAATTCTGACCAGCAATTCGGTTTTTCGTGACAGAAAGAACGCAAATACTGTTCAAGATAACGATTAGTTACCTCAGTTTGCCCGTCCGATTGCGGATGATATGCGGAACTAGTGTGCAATGAAGTTCCACTTAACTTGAATAGCTGTGACCAAAACTGACTCACGAATATAGGATCTCAGTCAGTCACTATTGATCTAGGAAAGCCATGATTGTAAACTACTAACTCGCAAAAGAGTTTGGCCACTGTTGTTGCAGTAAAGGATTGAGGCAATCTGCCAAAATAGGCAAATTTTGAGAGCCTATCAACTATAACTAGAATAGTTGACTATCCTCGAGACATAGGTAATCCCACAATAAAATCCATAGACAAGTCTTCAAACACCCCTTCTGGTACAGTTAAAGGTTGCAGTAGTCCACTCGGTTTGCTCGTTTCATATTTAACTTGCTGACAAACCAGACATTGAGCCACAAAATTTCTCACATCTTCTCTCATGGAACTCCAATAAAAAATGGCAGAGAGCCGAAGAAACGTGCGCAAAACCCTTGCATGCCCTCCCACTAGTGTAGCATGATATTCATGAATCAGAATTGGAATCAAAGAAGAATTGGAGCTTAATAAAAAACGGTTACTATGGAATAGGATACCATCCTTAATTGACAATGAACTATCCGCTCCAGGATCAGTTTTAAATTTTTCATGACATTGTAACAGATAAGGATCCTGTGAGTTTTGCTTCCTTACTTCCTCAAGAACATTAAAGACCGGTTCTGAAATCAAGGTGTGCAGCCCCCATCATCATGCACTCTTGATAACGCATCTGCTACCACATTACTACTGCCCCTTTTGTACTCAATTGTGAATGAGTACCCAAGCAATTTACAGAGGTATTTTTGTTGCTCTGTTGTCTGGATGGTCTGATTCAGTAGCTCCTTTATACTCTTATGGTCAGTCCTAATCACGAAATTGGAGCCCAGCAAGAATTGTCTCCACCGTTTAACAGCAGCCGTAATAGCATACAATTCCCGTACGTAAGTGGAAGAGTTAGCCATCCTCATTCCCAACTTTTTACTGAAGAAAGCTAGAGGTCTTTCCTGCTGCAAGAGTACTGCTCCTACTCCACTGCTTGAAGCATCTGTTTCAATGACAAAAGGAAGAGAAAAATTTGGTAAAATTAATATTGGAGTCTTACTCATGGTTTCCTTCAAATGATGGAATGCTGAAGTTGCTGCCTCGGTCCACACAAATTCTTCTGAAACCTTGAGCAGATTTGTTAGTGGGGCCGCGAGCATGGCATAATTCCTTACGAAACGACGGTAAATAACCCGTAAGGCCCAAGAATCCTCTCAATTGTTTCAGATTACAAGGCAAGGGCCACTCCATCATGGCTTGAATTTTCTTCGGGTCGGCATGAACTCCTTGGCTGGATACAACATGACCCAAATATTCTATGGACACAGCCCCAAATGAGCATTTAGACACCTTCACGAAAAATTTATGTACCTGCAAACAACTCAAAGCAGTAGCCAAATGCTCAACATGTTCTTCCATAGATTTACTAAAGACCAATATATCATCGAAGAATACAATTATAAATCTGCGTAAATGAGGCTTGAACAGCTGATTCATCACGGCTTGGAATGTAGCTGGAGCATTAGTCAAACCGAATGGCATCACTAGGAACTCATAGTGGCCCTCATGGGTTCTAAAAGCTGTTTTTTCCACATCTTGAGGCAGTACCCTAATTTGATGGTACCCTGCTCTCAAGTCAAATTTGCTAAAAATTCTAGCTCCCCCTAACTCATCTAGGAGCTCATCAATGGTTGGAATGGGAAACCTGTCCTGCACTGTGATGGCATTCAATGCCCTATAATCTATACACATTCTCCAAGTGTCATCCTTCTTACGCACTAAGAGAATAGGAGATGAAAAAGGGCTCTGGGAGTGCTGTATTAAACCAGCTGCCAGCAATTCAGTCACTTGTCGCTCTATCTCTGCCTTCTGATGGTGGCCATATCGATATGGTTTAACATTCACAGCCCTTGATCCTTCTACTAGATGTATAGTGTGATCCCTGCCCCTAAAAGGAGGAAGCTCATGTGGAATCTGGAATACTTCTTGATACTGCCACAAAACATCCCACAATTTATCAGGAATCACCTCCTTAATAGCCTTCAGTTCACTTCCCGAACCACTAGGACTGTTTTCTGTATGCTGCAACAATGCCAAGCAACTCAGCTTCCTGCCATTCATGTAATTCACCATGTCGTCGGATTCATTACTTCCCTTATTTCCCTCCAACAAAACATGTCGTCCTTGCCACTGAAATTCCATTGAAGAGCTAACATAGTCATGGGTGACCTTGCCAAGGGCCGCCAACCAAGGCATTCCTAAGACAATGCTAAGGTCACAAAGCTCCAACACCCAGAAATCAATGGTGAACTCATGACCTTGTAAGTTGATTAGTACCTTAAGGCATTTCTTATCAGTGGACAAAAATTCCCCATTACCTAAGAATACTCTTATTCTTTTGGAACGAGTCATAGGTAAGCACAAGTCAAGGGCTACCTGTCGGTCAAGGAAATTATGTGTACTTCCAGAATCTATCAACACATGAAACACACGGTCCTCAATAATTGTTGTGAACACCAAAGAACGTGTGCCTGAATGATCAGCCAGGGCATGAAGAGCACCATCCTGTGAGTTTTTATTGCTGCTGGTCGAATGCCATACAATCTCTTCTTCCTCCTCTAAACCTTCGTGTACTTCATCAACATCTCCCACCATTAAAAACAACTTGATTTTACACTTGTGCTTAGCATGCCACTTTTCCTCACAGTAATAACAAAGTCCCAACTCACGCCTCTTATGCAATTCTGCATGACAAAACTTCTTCATATTGGTAGGAGCAGGTAATGCCAATAACGGATTAGGTGCAGGTAATTGAGGCACAGTGGGCTTTGGAAGGTTTATTGGAGGTACTGAAGTCGATCCAATAGAAGAACCCCCAGCGTCATGAGAAGAAAAATTCTTAAAGCCAAATTTCTTACCACCCGCAGAAAAGGAAGCACGAAGTTCGGTATGATGATCATCATAAGCCAATGCTTGTTGCATTGCTTGATGCAAATTCATCGGTGATCTGAGTTGCACTGTGCTTCGGAGTTCAGGTTGAAGACCGGAGACAAAAAACTCAAGATATAAATCATCACCCAACCCTGGTACCTGGTTAAGCAACATCTCAAATTGCTGTATATACTCACGAAGGGTACCCAATTGAGTCAATTTGGACAATACACCCTTAAGATTCGTATAAGCAGAGGCTCCAAACCGCTCACGCAGCAACCTTGTCAAATCTGGCCACAAACCAATCAAGCCACTATTATACATCCACTGGTACCACCCTGATGCCATACCTTCCATGCGCAACCCAGCCATAGGAACCTTGAACTCTTTCGGAATTTGTTGAAGAACAAAGAACAATTCAGTTCGAAAAATCCAATTATTAGGGTCCACACCACTAAACACAGGAATCTCCAAGCGAATTGCCTTGGATACGTTGCGGCCATCCACTTGTGGATGAATTGGTGGAGTGCGAAAAGGAGGATCTCGATGACGTGCATCCATGGCCATCACCGTTGTATTGAGTTGCTGTAATTGAGAAACTATCAACGCTATTTGATTCTAATAATCATCCAAGCGAGTTTCCACACGGGAAAGGTGCGATTGATTGTCAGTCAACCGAGTATCTACACGTTGTTGGAACGTGTTGAATTCCTCCGCAAGATCCTGAACGCGCATTTCGTTGAACAGGTGGAGTTCAAGTGAAAGCACCAGTTGTTAGGAATTGACCTAACAAGAGAAGAACAGAGAAAACAAGAGAAAGAAAAATAACTGATTGTATATTCTGAGTAGTAATTCCAATGCTACAATGTGTTTCTTATATGAATCCATCTGTACTTATCCTATGACCACGTATTACGGTTAACACAGCCAATACATAAAGTGTTATTACTAAAGGCATATGTGTGCCACACACACAATACATCATCTATTTCTATGACACGTTTCACATGCACCCACTTAAGCTAAGCCACGTAATCTTTCAATCTCACCGAAGGCTGCTTTTCTCTCCTAGAGCTTCTTCTTGTAACAATCCTCCTTTTCTAACAAACTTGGTAAACCTTTCAAACCAAGCCCTTGAAGAAAACTTTAGTCTCTAAAGTGATTTCTTCAACTTAGAAACCTTCCCTCCAAACTTCTCTTCAAAACTAAGGGGCGCATTCTATAGAATTCCTCTTCCAACTCTCAATTGAGAACAAAAAAAAAACCGAATGAAAATAGAGAAGAAAAAGAACAAAATTAGATACCGGCTAGGCTTGATTACGCCATAGCTCTAAAGCCACGAGCACAGTCACGAAAAATAAAGGAAATAAGAAACCCCTTTTTTATATATATATTTCTGATTAATAATTAATTGTTACAAAGGGTTAGGTTGTATAGGCTCACACAACAAATATATCTCACTCAGTCTTAGGAGCTATACAATTTTACAGTAGCTATCCCTAGAAATTTGTTAAGTCAACTATCTAAATAAATCTTTTTATTTTCTATACCATCACTGAAAAGGATAAGGAAAATGAGCAATTTTCCAATGATATTATCAAATAAGAGAGGAAATTAAGCCCCAAAAACAGAAAGAACGAAAGAATCATCAAGGAAAAAGGAAAATACTTAGTCATTCCTTCGAGCCACTTTAAGAAATTTTAGAACATTTTCATAAACAATAAAAGTTATTGAAGAAGCAGGAGCATTTTTCAAAAGGTTTGGGGTAATTCCCTTGTAAAAACCTCGGACACCTTCAAATCTGCAAGAACAAAACAAAATCTATAATACACAAAATAATTAACTGAATTCAAAACGACCAAGAGCATATTAATTTGGATAGATGCAAAATTAACAAAATAGAGTATTCATAATTTGTTGGCAGTGTTGCACCAAGAGTCAACCTATTGTGTTGCCAAGGCCTAAGGAATGCAATGATCTTTAATCACCAATAATATTTATGAGTCCTAATCCAGTTTCACCTTCGTCCTTTGTCAATGAAAAGATGCAAACTAAATCTGGATGGGTTTTAATGCGTACCGTGCAGTTTCTTTCACAACATGCCAACTGTCCATATATCTCGGAACCCCATCACCACTAGGTCGTTGCTGCATTGAGAAAGAAATTTCAGTCCAGCTCTGAAAACGATGCACAGTTAAAAGAAAAGCAGTATGTAATATCCCTATCTTCGTAATTACACTCTTGTACCTGCAATCGAGCCCGTATAACCTGAAAAAAAAAAAAAAAAAGGAGGAAAAAAAAACAGTGTCTCATCAGAAAGCAACTTCTTCAAAGATTGATTTATCATAGTCAAGGACTCTAGAGTCTAAAATCCATCTCGTCCAAAAGAGAGGGGAACAGACAGTGGTACCTGAAATGGATAAGTTAGAAGTATTGCAGCAATTTTTGATGTTGCTCCAAGAACGGCATAATCAACCGAATTCTGGGGAAAAGAATAAGTCATGAAAACACTCCAACCGTAAGTCTTGGAAAAAAAGCCTTGATATAACACAGATTAAATTGGAATCATTTGTAAGCATCACATAGCAGGAAGCTGAGAGTACTAGACTCAAACCCGTCTTAAAAAGACATAAGCTTGTAAAAATGAAATGTAGGATACGCATAACTACATTTCCTCTCATTTAACATGTCCCTGAATTCAACACAGTCATTTGAACAACTTAATAAAGCCTTAAAATCTGAAGGAAGGGTGGTATAATATTGCAATGCATTAATTTGAACTAATTAAGCAATTTTGACAAATGGTTCCATGCATGAATGGAAGAGCCAATATGTTATGCACTAGTTTATGTTATATTCTACTTAAAAAAAATTAACATAACTCCACAGTTTGGACTGCGTTAACCCATGTCAAACAATCATTTAGGCACCAAGACAGTGGTTGATATCAGCTTATATACCATGACCAAGACAGTTTACGATCTAGTCAAAACTATAGTCATCCTATCCACATATATGCATCAACCTTAGAGTTATGATTCATGAAATGCATCACTTTGCTTTACCAACCTGGAGCAATGATTTATAGGAGCAAGATCTCAAAGAGCCTTAACAGTGGCCAAAAAGGTCAATTATCAAACAATCATTTAAGAAGTGTAAATGGTCCAGTACATGTATATTTTCAGAGTTAAATGGATCCAAGGTCCATTGACTTACCAACAATTTATCAGGGTTTTGATGGTGTATTTTACATCCCTTACTCTTCAAATCGACAATAAATTTACGAAGCTCCTCATATGCTGTGAACTGAATAGCACCATGAGATACCTGCTGAAGCACAAAAATAAAGTAAGATCTCAATAAACCATAGAAAGACAATAAT